CAAGCATCTTGCACTGTGCGCCTCTCCATTCTTCCTCCAGACTCTGGGTCCTTGGTTTCCAAATGAGATGCAAAAGTTGCTCTCATCAGAAAAGAGGACTTTGGACCACTGAGCAAAAGACCAGTTCTTTTTTTCTTTAGCCCAGGTAAGACGCTTCTGACGTTGTTTGTTATTCAGGAGCGGCTTGACAAGAGGAATACGACATCTGAAGCCCATGTCCAGGATCCGTCTGTGTGTGGTGGCTCTTGATTCACTGACTCCAGCCTCAGTCCACTCCTTGTGAAAATCCCCAACACGTTTGAATGGCCTTTTCCTGACAATCCTCTCCAGGCTGTGGTCATCCCTGCTGCTTGTGCACCTTTTTCTTCCACACTTTTCCCTTCCACATAACTTTCTATTAATGTGCTTTGATACAGCACTTTAGGAACATCCAACTTCTTTTGCAATTACCTTTTGAGGCTTACCCTCCTTATGGAGGGTATCAATGATGGTTTTCTGCACAACTGTCAGGTCAGCAGTCTTTCCCATGATTGTGCTTCCTACTGAACCAGACTGAGAGACCATTTAAAGGCTCAGGAACCCTTTGTAGGTGTTATGGCTTAATTAGCTGATTAGAGTGGGACACTTTGAGCCTAGAATATTGAACCTTTTCACAATATTCTAATTTTCTGAGATTGTGGATTTGGTGTTTTCATGAGCTGTAAGCCATTATCATCTCAATTATGACACATCACAGCTTGAACTATCTTGCTTTGCATGTAATGAGTCTATCTCATATATTAGTTTCACCTTTTAAGTTCCATTATTGACATAAATGAACTTTTGCACAATATTCTAATTTTTTGAGTTTCACCTGTATATAAACATTTTAGTAACTTATCCCATCTCTTAAAATACAATAAATGATTTCTTCTTACCATATTCCCATCTCTTATCTATAAAAAATCCATAGTCATTTCAATTCTGATGTCAGCAAAAGTCCATTACCAGAGATAACATAACTATTCTAACCTTGATCAAATAAACCAACTTTTCATTCCTTTCTTTAAACTTCTCAATCTTTAGCCTCTTACATAATATCCTAAAACTTATTAATTTTTGTTCCTTTTGTCATGCGCGAACAATCAGGATCACGTTTTAAGTTCCAGTTAAGAATATTTATTGCTGAAGCCTATACACAAGAATTTTATCAACTAATAATTTTATCAACACAAAATTAGTGCTGGATAAGAATAGAATTCAAGGAGGGAAGTCAGAATTTTGAACTCTTCTGGAAACACAATTACTCCAGACTGATTCCTCTCTTGATTCTGTCCCCAAGCACTGCTTCTTCTCCTACACTTCTCACAAATTCTTCAAAGTTTAACAAGTCTCTTTTATAAATCCAACATAGGAAAATTATCAAGGTCAATCTCATTATATGTATATGTCTTTTAATTAAGACATCAGCCGATTTCTTTTGTACATCCATTTTAATATCTTTTCCTGAAAAATATCTTACCCAGACATTTTGCAGAGAAAAACATTCCTGAATATATTTCCCCAATTCATCCCTAAGGGAAAAGTGGTTGGAGAGTAGAGACTCCTCCTTTCCTCTCTGAACACAAGACACAAAACAGAACATACAAGCCCTCCATATGATTTCCTGTGAACACATACACAAATGCAACACAAGAAAAGAAAAAACATCTTCCCATGCACAGACACAAAACACATGTATTAATTCTTGTCAGACTCTCATAGTTACATAAACTCCATACACAAGAAAGTTATATGTCTCTGCTCTGATTAATCTCTGGAATGAAAAATGCATGCACATACATATACACCACCTTAAGGCCCCCTATGGCACTATTCATCAAAGGGCTGAAGAAACTTGCAAACATCAAGCTCTGTATAGTTTCACCCTGTTTTATGGATGCTGCTTGGAAAGCAACATTTCAAAACTTACTGGGAGGGATAAAAAAACCCAGTGAATTCTTTTCAGCCAGGGTGCTACTTATCAGCAGTCTAGATCTCTGTCTCCTTCTTCCTAATCTTTAGGCCCGGAAATAAGACAAGTTAGACCCAACACAGCTGGCAGGTGGATAAAATAATTAATTAATAAATAATTAAAGGTGGATAATTAATTTTTCTGAATAAATCAGAAAAAAAGCTTCTTCTTAAGGACTGAACATCTTAATTAATCTTAAAAAAACCTACTCCTTTTGATAATGCTAATTCTGTATCATTTGCTGCCTTGAGTAACTATGTGAGTATATGAATGTTATGCATATGTATATGTGTGTGTATGCATGCGTGTATAAATGCTATGTATGCATGTATGTGTGCATGCATATGGGTGTATGAATGTTATGTATGCATGTGTGTATATATATGTGTGTAAAATGTATGTGTATGAATATAATGTATGCATGTGTATGTGTGCATGCATATGTGTATGTTATGTGTGCATGTGTGTGCATGCATGTGTGTGCATGAATGTTATGTGTGCATGTGCGTGTAATGTGTGTGTGTGTACACACACATACACAAAATGCAGGGAAAATGTAATAATAATAGTAATAATAGAATGCATACATTAAAACGTTAAACACGGATATGCATGTATCATATTCCTAATATAATATGAACAACTTACCGGCTGTTGTGGACTTTCCTACGCCCCCTTTACCAGAAGCTACAAGCAGCACTTGCTTAACTCCTTCAATCGGCTTTTGCTTCGGAAGTCCTCTAGCCATGATCTTGCTACGCTTGTCTTCGAGGGCACCATCCTTCGCATTTGATGACTTTAAAGAAAAAAGCAAGAACGTACACATTTAAGGCTTGACCTACGGTATGCACTGGAGTTTGCCGATTTTTTTTTTAAAAAATAGCAACCTAGGAAGATGTCCCATCTCACAGTTAATTGCCTGCTATTCTTGTTGAACCTCTTAGAATTCCACAATATTGCTACATTAGTGTTGCATATGACATCAAGTCAGGTATCACGGTTACGAAACGAGCGAGACAAAGACCTGAACCTTAAATGCCTACCATTTTTTTCAAATTTGCCGCCATTCGGTTTAGCAGCCTTACGGAGAACAGATTGCCAACCATTTATCGTGTTCGAAATCCCCTTCAGTATTAACAGGAGCTATTCTCGAGCAACTCCCCTACAGTTTTCTGCGAAGGAAATCACACGATGCAATTCACCGCTGAGGTGAATCTGACAGCTAAGAGTTAAAACGATAGAGTTTGCATCCTTGCGAGGAGGCGCTCGCCCTAAGTCTTACAGGAAATGAAAGGTAACCAAGCCGGAAAGGTCACCCTTGAGAAACTGGTACTAGGCACTTCCAGGCACCAGTTCTTGCTCAATCACTTCCGGGACAATAAAGCTAGAACGTTCTTGTTTGTTTGTTTGTTTTTTAAATCTCGGGGAACTATAGAGTAGACTCTATTGGCTAGAACGGCACTTGCGACAGTAAAGACTCTTCTGGCGTTTCCCTCGCTCACTGCGCTTTATTTCATACATTTCTCAACCTTGGCAACTCAGCATAGTAGCTGATGAATTCTAGGAGTTAAAGCTCACACATCTTAAAGTTGGCAAAGGTTGAGAAACAATGATTTAATGAGTTAACTTCCTTAGGACTCTCGAATCTTTTTAAAGATTGCGAGGGAAAAACCTTTTCCAGCTATATTCCCCATTACAGCTGTGGAAGGATGCATACAAGATACAGCATCTGCATTACTGTAAGGATGGAGATTTTCTCCACCAGATCTTCTGAGAATTAGAAAAGCAAACTTCTTTAGCGCCCAATAGGCATCTTTAGAACACAGGCACAGGAGGGACATGGAGGGAAGAGTCCCCTGTCATTCAAACCTCTTCAAAACGGAGTAAAACGCTTTCACCACTTTTCCCCAACAGGGTTGGAGCTACTAGCATTGGGGGCTTTTAAATAAGCACCTCAATGCCAATCACTAATTAAAGTAACACTACAAATAACCCTTCTGTCAAAGAATCTTTGCTTTATCTCCCTTTTGCTTTCTTAAGCTACTTGATGCACTCAACTTACAGCATTACCTTCTTTCTTTCCCATTCCTGAGAAATCCTTTTGACTCAATGGAACTCTAGCTCTTTTTCGGCTTCCCTCAGCTAATCACTTCCTTTTATTTTCCCTAGCCATTTCTCCTGGACTTGGTCTCCTTCTGGGACAAAACTTACTTATCCCAAACACAGTCCATGATCTGCATGCATCTCCTACCAACAACACCACATCTTTTTGTACATTTTCCAATATCTAAGCTTTGTTTCTTCCTCTCCACACTATAGTGAGAATCACAAAGTGGGAACCTATTTATTTCACCACAATTTCTCCGTATAGCAACAGCAATTAGACATATACTGTTTCACAGTGTTTTACAGCCCTCTCTAAATGATTTAGAGTCAGCATATTGCCCCCAATAATCTGAGTCCTCATTTTACCTATCTGGCAGTCAGCAAAAGTAGCTTGTAGTACTACATTCTAACCACTGTGCCACCACTGCTCATTGTACCTGAACTGCACATACTTTTGTCTGTTCCGTGGCCAACCAATGACACTCCAGGCATCCAGATTCCTAGGTATTTCCTACCTTTTTAACCAGAGCCTTGGAGCCACCTTCACTCATTTCCCCAAATTTATTGCAGCCCTCTGAGTTCCATAAAAATGCTGTCTTCCTTTTTCTTTCAATCATTTGTTTGTGTCATAGTACATTTTAAAGAGAATAAACAGAATTGAGTTTAATAATGTCCCATAAATATATCCAAATTACAAAACAGGAGGAACTTCTGTTTTCAAGTTTTGTGAAATAATTCTAAATTCAGCTATTGCTTTCAATGGGCGATTTGTACTGCTTTCTAGGTTTGTACATTGTGTGAAGGGGGCAGAGAAACGAATTGTCTCTCAACAAAGAGTCAATAGCCATGGACTACAAAGAAATGAAGCAGAAGGAGTTTGCGTCAACTTAGAGGAGGGACTGGAGGAGGAGTTTGAGAAAAAGACTTTTAGAGGCCCCGTTTGCTTTCCTCCGAGTGGCGCGTGTGTGCGTATGCGCGCGTTTATGGCTGACCCGAACTCGAGTCCATTAGCTCGTGTGGTTTTGCAGCAGTGTCTGCACGCGCAGCTGCAAGTGAAGCCTGCTGAACCGGATTCCGAAGCCAGATGGGTAGAGGTAATATCAGCATTGCGAATCTTGCCGGTTGGTGGCCAAATTCTTTTCGCTTTCCTGCATGCTTGTATCACTCTCGCCCCAACTTCTGTTTCCGAGATCCGCAGAGATCCAGAGTTCATATCTCTTATCTATCAACACTACAGATTAGATTTTCATATTGTATATAATCTGCCTTCCTGAAATGAACAGGAACTCATAATGTGCATTATTATATTAATCCGTAACGAATTTTTCATAACACGGAAGTACTTCACCTGGTTATTAACGTGCCTGACCAAAGTAACTTATGCAGAAACATTTCCGGCACTAAAAAAAATACTTAATGGTTTAGGATTTTACCGCATGTGAAAATTCGCTTGCTTTGACAGTGTGACATCTACTGACATAATTCGTTGTCTCACATGTCTCTTCTGCAGCTTGTACTAATCCCACTGAACGATATTTATTTTCAAAAATATGTAGGCACCTTCCGATTTTTCTTATACAGTTGATAGAAACAGCAACCATATGTCTATTCTGAATATATTTCAAAATACATGTAAAAATTTGATGCAGGTCTTCATGACATCTGGAACATAAAAATATTTAGAACTTTATTTCTAAATGTGTAATATTCTAAAATTTATTTCTAAATGTGTAATACTTGGAATTTCAATAGGGAAATCTTCTAATTTATTCTAGCATAAACTCTTCAAAAATGTTTCCTTTGTTTTAAAAATGTGTCTTGCTTCAGCATGCCAAACATTGAAAACAGACATACAAACATTTTATAAATGTATTTCGAAATATTTTTTTTTCGTGAATTAGAAATCAAGCTTCATTTAACTTGGTGAATCTTACAGTATCTGTTAATTGAATTTGTAGGATTGTGCAGTTGTAGTATTTGGACTACAGAATATTGTTTTTAAATTACAGTAAATAGTAAATCACACTGTCCAAATCAATCAATCAATATATATAACAATATTTCAATATATCTTTGTCATTTTATATAGATCCAACGTGGTCTTATTATCTATGTATGTTTCTTCAAAGGGGCCAGTGAAGATATTATTCCCAAAATGGGTAGGTTTTCCAGAGAAATTATTCTTAGAACTTAGGAACTTAGAACTTAGAAACAGTGTGTTTATTGTGTTTGTGTGCAAATAAAAGTTTGTTCTGTGAGGAAGTTTAAGCACAACAGACATTTCCTTCTAAACTGCAATTGTACATAAAGTATGTCCAGTTCTTGTTAATAGAGGCAGCAAACATTAATAAAATTCCTATATTTATGTTTATATCTACGTATCATTTATATGTAAATTTTAATTTTTTTAACAAAAAATATTTTAGGGTTTGCTTTGGAAATAAACAGGGAAAGTGGCACAAAAACATTTTATTTATTTTTATTTATTTATTATATTTGTATGCTGTCCATCTGTCAAGTGATTCTCAGCTACTTACAGGTTATAAAACAAGGAGAAAAAATAATTAAAACATTAAAACTACACATATTAAGATTTTAAAAACTATACTAAAACCAAAACTAAGAAACCGATGGGACAGGGATGATATTTTCTTACCCCATCAACTACTTCCAGCAGTTTGCTGTGCTGTGCTGTGCTGTACAATTACTTTACATCCTCTTTTAAAAGTATAAAGCCAAAATCCTTTGTTGCTTCTGAGGCCCTATATCGAATACTGTATATAATGCAGTCAGCTAAATCATCGGCAAATGCTTTCCATCCAGAAGCACCCTTTGATTACGGTAGCTGTGTAGGTGCTACTGCCACGAATACAGCAGACAGTTAAATTATAGTCGCACAACTTACCAGTGCCAGAGAACTCAGCAAACCTGAACTAGTTCAATTTTCACTACTGTCCAAGCCTACAGAAATTTAAAAAGTACCTCTTTCTGTTTTATCTTTTTATAGTTTTTTAAATTATTGTATTGACAAAATCATTTCCTACATAATAAATTAAATTTATTTATAATTGAATAGGAAGTACTGTAGTTCTTAGTTTAATTGGACCTTACTTCACCTAGTAAATAAATGTTGAGAATGGCATCTCAATAGTACAGAAAGTTGCTTGAAAAAGGGTCATGGGACTGTTTGCTGGACGGAAACTTAGAACAATTGTCTAAATTATCTAGTTGAAGTTTAATCATTTCCTTGCTCCAAATTTTTTAGACTTTGTGTCGAAAAATAAATGCTTCAGGGAGCCAGTAGAGGGAACTAGCAAATAAATAAATATTTTATATAGGAAACTTAACAGTACTCACATTTCAATTTATACAGTATATACTGTCATCACTGCATGTGACCATTAAGAACTGGTGCATGAATGTTTTCATTTGTTTTCCCCTCCCCTCTCTCTTTCCTTTGTATCATGTATTTTACACTATCTGAGCAGTTCTTTTAAGGATTTTTTTCCATACTAAAACTAAAGTATAAATGTGTTCAAATAAAGATAATTTAAACATGCATTATTGATAATGTAAGATATGTTTCAACCTGCTAATCAAGTATTTTCCCCTATTATTTTTTACAGTCAATACAATCCTGAATGTGAAATTAAGTGAATGTGAAGATGGCAAATATGTGTCTATTTTGGATTTGCCAGGTAGTATACTTGTAATACCACAAGCCACACTGGGTGGTAAATTGAAAGGAAGAAGAATGCAATATCATACCAACATTGAAAAAGAAATTGGGCTAGAACTCTATTCCCAGTTTGTGATTCATTGTGAAAAACAACTGGCTGCTAATGTCAAATGTGCAGAAGCTGGTGTAGTCCTGAAGCATGGCACATATGGAAACCGACAAGTGTTGAGAGTAGATACAAATGGACCTTACACTCATCAGATTGAATTTTGAGACATATGTGCTACAGGTCAGGGGTCCCCAACCGCCGGTCCGCGGACCGGTACCGGGCCGCGGAACAAGCCTTACCGGGCCGCTGGTTGCTGGGCGCCGCCATCTTTTTTTTGGTAAAAAAGCGCTTCTGGTGAGCTTTTCCGGGTAGAAAGCTCACCGGAAGCGCCTTTTCGTCATAAAAAGATGGCGGCGCCCAGTTGACGCCGGTACCGGGCCGCGGCGCCCAGCTGATGTCGGAACCGGGCCGCAGCGTCGAAAAGGTTGGGGATCCCTGCTACAGGTAACAATTAACCTGATGCTAATGTTTGTGTGCAAAGAAAATAGAAATGTCCACCAGTAACTTCAGGTCCACATTTATATGTTTATTTTTTGCCACATTCTCCCATATTTCTTCTTTATCATACAATAATTCTGTCATGGAAAACCAAAAAGTCCAATAGAAGATTGTTTTGGTCCATGAATCTTTTCAAACAACTCTTAAACTATATAGTTTCTTTTCTGCCCAAACTTGTACTTACAGTATTTCACCCCCTCATATTTTGTAAATATTTAGGTATATCTTTTTATGTGACAACACTGAAGAAATGACACTTGGCTACAATGTAAAGTAGCTTGTATAACAGTGTAAATGTGCTGTCCCCTCAAATAACGCAATACACAGCCATTAATGTCAAAACCCCTGGCAACAAAAGTGAGTACACCTCTAAATGGTAATGTCCAATTTGGGCCCAAAGTGTCAATAATTTGTGTGGCTGCCATTATTTTCTAGCACTGCCTTAACCCTCTTGGGCATAGAGTTCACTAGAGCTTCACAGGTTGCTACTGGAGTCCTCTTCCACTCCTCCATGACGACGTCACAGAGCTAGTGGGTGTTAGAGACCTTGCGCACCTCCACCTTCCATTTCAGGATGCCCCACAGATGCTTAATAGGATTTAAGTCTGGAGACATGCTTGGCCAGTCCATCACCTTTACCCACAGCTTCTTTAGCAAGGCAGTGATCGTTTTGGAGGTGTGTTTGGGGGCCATTATCATGTTGGAATATTGTCCTGTGGCCCAGTCTCTGAAGGGAGGGGATCATGCTCTGCTTCAGTATGTCACAGTACATGTTGGCTTTCATGGTTTCCTCAATGAACTGTAGCTCCCCAGTGGCGCCAGCACTCATGCAACCCCAGGCCATGACATTCCCACCATGTTTGACTGTAGGCAAGACACACTTGTCTTTGTACTCTTCACCTGGTTGCCACCACACATGCTTGACACCATCTGAACCAAATAAGTTTATCTTGGTCTCATCAGACCACGTGACATGGTTGCAGAAATCCATGTCCTTAGTCTGCTTGTCTGCAGCAAACCATTTGCGGGCTTGTGCATCATCTTTAGAAGAGGCTTCCTTCTGAGATGACAACCCTGCAGACTAATTTGATGCAGCATGCAGTGTATGGTCTCAGCACTGGCAGGCTGACCCTCACCCCTTCAACCTCTGCAATACTGGCAGTACTCATACGTCTATTTCCCAAAGCCAACCTCTGAATATGATGCTGAGCACGGGTATTCAACTTCTTTGGTCGACCATCGCAAGGCCTGTTCTGAGTGGAACCTGCCCTGTTAAACCACTGTATGATCTTGGCCACTGGGCTGTAGCTCAGTTTCAGGGTCTTGGCAATCTTGTTATAGCCTAGGCCATCTTTATGTAGAGCAGCAATTCATTTTTTCAGGTCCTCAGAGAGTTCATTGCCATGAGGTGCCATGTTGAACTTCCAGTGACCAGTATGAGAGAGTGAGAGCGATAACACCAAATTTAACACACCTGCTCCCCCTTCACACCTGAGACCTTGTAACACTAACGAATCACATGTCACCAGGGAGGGAAAACTGCTTCTTGGGCCCCATTTGGACATTATCACTTAGAGGTGTACTCACTTTTGTTGCTAGGGATTTAGACATTAATGGCTGTGTGTTGCGTTATTTTGAGGGGACAGCACATTTACACTATTTTACAAGCGGTATAGTCACTACTTACATTGTAGCCAAGTGTCATTTCTTCAGTGTTGTCATGTGAAAAGATATACTTAAATATTTATAAAATGTGAGGGGATGTATTCACTTCTGTGAGATACTGTATATACATAGAACATATACTCAAACACACACATTGTATGTACATACAGTCCTATTATCTCTATCTGTGTGTGTGTGTATATATACACACAGAGACTACATACTTCCTATTATCTTTATCCAATCTTCTATTACTATCACAATGTTTCTTCTAAACTATTACTTATATACTATGATCTATATCATATATGCATTAATATTTCCTTCTTACAGAGCCTATTCTGACTTTTATTCCCTTTCTCTGGAATTTCTTCTTTTCTACTTCTCTTTTAATGGCCAGTAGGTAGAGCTCTTGCATCTTTCTAAATTGTGCTTTCTTTTCTTGGGTTTTTGTACATATTTTTCTCTGGACTATCCACTCCCTCTGAAAGAAAAACAGAAGGCTGCTGTTCTTCTCAGTTTACTGGTGGCTGCAGAGCTCCAAAAACACACCTCACCTCCCACACCTGTGTCAAAATTGAGGCTTTATTGGCTTCTCTGCTGTGCTAATGTGGGGGAAAGGCTCAAATCAGTGGTGGGATTCAAATTTTTTTACTACCAGTTCTGTGGGCGTGGCTTGGTGGGCGTGGCAGGGGAAGGATACTGTAAAATCTCCAGTCAGAGGTGGTATTTGCTGGTTCTCCTAACTACTCAAAATTTCTGCTACTGGTTCTCCAGAACTGGTCAGAACATGCTGAATACCATCTCTGGCTCAAATGGAAGGAATGGCAGTAGCACAGGTGCTTGCAATTTTGAAGACTGCTCTTGCATAGGCTAGAACATGGGTGTCAAACTCGCAGTGTCATGTTGCCATCAAGTGACATTTTGAGACACTTCCCCTTTGTGGAGCTGTGGTGGGCGTGGCCTGCGCGTGACACTTCTGACCCGCGAGCCACCTATTTGATGCCCCTAGGGTAGAAGCTGGGGACCATGAGTTGTATTCCTGTCTTAGACATGAAAGACAGCTTAATGACTTTGCACTAGTCATTGTCTTTCCCTCAAGAAAAGACAATAGCAAACCGTTTCTGAAATCTTGCCAAAACAACTCCAGGGACTTGTCCAGGCAGTTGCCAGGAATCTCAGAGATGCATGTATGCACACATTTTTTTTATAAACAGGAAAAGGGTAATTAGAATTTTGATTTTGGAAAATTAAAAACAAAGGATCCAGATGGATTTGAATTTTTTTTGGAATTTATCATAATAAACCTTACCATAGCTTTGTTTAATTCTTTAAAAACATGATAGAAATGGACTTTGAAGATTGAACACTACAGGGAACTAGGGGGAACTTAATATTAAAATTAAAGGAGAAGTACACTTAAATTTGTATTATTAATACAGAATGAAGAAAAATATTTTAACATTGGATATATTGAAAGATATTTTTGAAGCAGGGATCTAGGAGCTAATTTTAAGAGTGTCTGTTTTTAGATAGTATTTAAATGGTTTGGAAGAGGAACAAGTTTTACCTGACAACATTGAGACCTATTTTAAAGTATATTTAGTAATTATAACCTACAAGAATGATATGAGAGAAGATGCTAGACTACAAAGGAAACCCGCTGATGTCTTATTAATTAAAAATAACATACAAATAATAAACTAAGAGAGTGACTGGGATAATTTTCCTGTATTGGATTTACAAAAGAGGCTTATTAAAGCTTTAAAGAATTTTGTTAGCACAAAGAAAAAATGAAGAGAAATCACATTCTAAAACATTATTTCAAGATCAAGATTGTTAAAAGTAAAAGTAAGGAATATAAAGCTTATTCAGTGTTTATTAATGTTTATTCAGTTTATCCAATGTTTATTAATGTTAAAATAGATACTTTATTTCTGATAATCCTTAATGGACTTCTGCTGATCAGGATTGAAATTAAATATTAAAATTAAAGACACTTAAATGATCCCATATTTAATTTTCTCTTCTCATAAAGATAATTTGTCTTCTAAGGTGATAAATTACTAAAATTGTTTATATTTGTGATAAAGTTACCACTTTATTTCTTTTTCATTACTACATTCTTATTTTTTCTATTTTCTGCATCTTTTCTTTTTATTCTATATTTTTGTATCTTTATTTTTGCAATTATAATTCTTAAACACTTTTTAATTCTGGAGATTTTTTGAAGGACTTTGGGCAGGATTATGGCATTTATAGATGCTGAATTGTAACCTCTTTTTTTTAAACCTCTTATTAACCTCTTATTTTCCTAATATGGGCCTAAATTCCATTCTATATCCTTTGTTAATGTCTTCCATACACTGGTATAACTTCTGTAGTTGTTGGCTTTCAAATGAATGAATTGAAATAAAATATGATTCTCACATCGCCTCCCTTCCAATTCTAAAATTGACTCATGCTACAAAGGAGACAAGGATTTATGTGAATGAAGTTCGGATTTTTAAAAATTGTGCTGTTTGCTTGCTCTTTGGATCATTCTGGACTCACAGATCTTACTGGAAAAGTGGTGGCAGCTGTGACAAAGAAACCCTTTGATCAGCTCTGGACAGTTGCCTTTTCTGAAATTAGAGGCATTGATTCTGGAATTAGAAATATTAAGTGTAACACACTTGTCACCTGTCATCTGGACTACTCCAATTCTATCTATATAGGCTGTCTTAAATCTTTGGCTCACACAGAAACTGTCACACCTATTATAGCAATGGCACACCATTGTTAAAAGAGTTAAAATGGTTACTGATTCGTTTCCAAATATAATTCAAGATGCTAGCTATAACCCATGTGTCTGGGGACACACATTATCTTTGAGGTTTTTTGAGACAGAATCTGCACATCCAGGGCGTGCAAATGAAATAAACACATTTTATGAACAGAGGCTGTGTCATATTGTGTTAAAGGATGGAGACATTTTTTGCTGGGTAATAATTCCCTCCTCAAATGCCTTGGCTCTTTGCACAGTACGCTGAGTCATGTTTAGCTAGAGTTTATGAATTTATGGTCTATGAACTCGTCACAGAATTCACATAATAGTTGTGACATTTAGCTTGGCGAGTCTTATGAACTACAGGTTTGAAGCCACAGAGAAATTCAAGCAGGGTGGAATGACTTGCCTTTCAGCTAAAAAAGTGGGCCCGTTTCCAACAGCGCATTGAAGCACAAGCACTTTCTCAGCCCAGCTGGGAAAACGAGAGACCCACAGGACTTAAAAGGCTTGAAAACTAAAGTAAACAGCTTCACTACTCAACTGTAAAAAAAATTTAAAAAATCAAGCCATTCCCTCAACTTCCGGTTCAGGATAATTGAAATTTTAAAAGATGTGCAAAGCCTTTAGGCCCACGGAGCGTGGTCGTGTGAGTGGCTGCAGAGAAGGGGATCGCGCCGGGAGAGAACAACACAGCTTCCCTTTCGGTCTGAGCAAGCAGCTTCACAGCGTTGCTTGGCCGCTTTGGCGGAGGGACCGGAGCCGAGCTCAGCCGCCGCCGCTCGATGGCTCCGGGGCCGATTAGGCGGCCCTAAACGGCCATCCAAGCGGGGAAGGGGGAGAAGACGAAGGTGGCCCCGCCAGCAACTCCTCCTCCTGGCCGAAGGGAGGGTGCGGGTTTCCCCTGGAGAGGCAGAGGCGGAGGGACGAATTCCGATCCCGGCGCGGTGGCAGCCCGAGCAGAACCCCGCCCTGTGTCGCCTGCTTTCCCCGAGCAAGCGGCTCCCTGCAGCCTGGTCAGGTTTCCTCCGAGTTGCCGGAACTCGGAGTTCTCTCCTTTTCCTGGGGCCGGACGGGAGAGGCTGGCCGGGCTCGCCCACTCGGGAGGCGGCGGCGGCTACAGATGGGTGAGAAGAATCTCTTTCCTTAGGGAGCGTTGGCGGCTGGCAAAAAGCGTGCCGAGCCTGGGGACACGTCAGGAGAGAGAAGCCACATTGTTAACTGAGTTTAACTGATGCAGGGGAGAGACGGCGGGCGGCGGGCAGCTCTCCAGGGAATGGTTGTAACCAAAGGTAGGCGCTCATCGGAACTATGTGTGAGTGATACGTAATCGAGGAAGACGTGCTAAAAAAAACTAAAAAAGAGGAAAAAAACTTTTTAAAAGGGTGTGGATCAAAGCATACCAAACGCAGTTAAATGGGAATAACTTTTTTTAAAAGAAAAAAGCTCTGGGTCTGCGATCTGTAGTTCTTATTTGCAGAATTAAAATATTGTTCTTAAACTATCAGCATCGTTTTTGATTGTTGGTGTGTTGTGTTCTCTCTCCTTTTTAATTTCTTTGATGTTCAAAGCAATCCATTCTGAATATGGAATGGGATGCTTGTGGTTCTGGGTACCTGTAGGGATGTGAGAGAGAAAATGACGACACACAAGTTATAATGTGATAGCACAAATGCTATGACTTGCATACTTGCATCCGATGTAAGGATGGAAATAAGTTATAGCAGTTGTGTGATGATACATGGCATCATTTTGGAATCCATACTTTGCTGTGGACACTGTTCTGATTGTTTATTGTACAAGGATATAATTTTGATAAGTGTGAAATATGTTCAAATTTGTAATAATACAAAAAATATCAATATAAGAGTATGGTTATACTGTACGGTCTTTGGTGCTGTCTGATTTTGGTTGTTCTCCTGCAGACATTTCATTACCCAACTAGATGACATCATCAGTGCCTAAAACTGATGATGTTCTTTGATTGGGTAATGAAATATCTGCAAGAAAACATCCAAGATCAGAGAGCACCAAACACTCTTCAGAACAAGAAATATTCCCCTACCCCCCATCCTGTTGCTTCATATAAAAGCCAAATAGATCAACTGAAACATTTAAGTTCATTTGATTTTCCATACTGGAATTAATATACAATATTTAACAAAACATTTAATTTTGTAATAAACTGTTTCACATACAGCTGTTATCTTTAAACAATATAGTAACACAAGTTAGTGTTGATTCTAAGCAACCCATAGTTAGATTTTCTCCGTGAGAATATAAGATTGACTATTCTTTCTGAAGGTCCAATTTGATATATGCTGTGCCAAGGGCATAGAGTTTACATGTAAAACATTCCAAATTGATTTCATTTTTAGGCACATTTTTTTTAAAAAAGCACCTCTAAATCCTAAGAAGAAGATTGGAGAAGATCTTAACAGAGATCAACAGAAAGTCACAATAGCCAGAACAATAAAAGCTAGCATCACACGGGTCATAAAGTCAGGAGACTGGAGAAAAAGAAAGGGAAAGTATTGAGTGAAATTCATGAATAGACCAGTTTATGTCTGACATTAATAAAAGAAAAAGACTTCATAGCACAAGCTTATTCCATGCGTCATAATATTGAAACCAAAAAAGGGTGAATGAGTAACTCAAATTGCAGTAGGAAATTATTTATTGCATAGAATACCATTATTTAGCAGCTAAAACTTTTTTGCCAAATAAGCAAATTTATTTTGAGACAGAGCAGCTATTTTGACTCCATATCAAAGAAACTTAGCTAATGGCATAGTTTAGCTGTAAACATAGTGACTACATAAAAGGAATTGTGAAGCTTCTGTAAGTATTTTTTTTTAAAAATCAATTGTACATATAAGTATTGTTGTCTATCTCCTAATTAATTTAGAAAAATGCTTAGTTTTACTGAATGATCAACTGGATTTAACTCAAATGTTAAATGCTATATATTAATGCTCAATTCATTTCTTTAAAACAGCAAGGAAACTTGATACAAGACTATTTTTGTTTCTTACATTTACTTTTTCATTAGATTTATGTCTTGTCTCTTCTCTAAGTATTCAGATGGCATGTAACAAAAGCCCATCCTCCATTCTTTCCCTTCTAATGGCATAAGTAGTAATAAGGTGCTGTATGGTTACAAGATTATCAATAATCTTTATTTATAGTTCCTCTAATTGCCCTTTCAAATTACTATAACATTTAATTAATTGGACATAGAAACCATACCTTGAAATTTGTGGTCTGTCAATCACATTTTTCATCAGGATATTTTATTCTGCTTTCCCTTTTCTTCCAGATACTTAGAATATTCTATGCCTCCTATCATGATCAGTCTTTTATTAGGGGATTTTCTTTGCTTAAGGAGAACAGCTCTGAAATATTAGTTATGCAAGTCTTCAGAGTCTCCCATGTTGCAGATACTTTTTAACCACACAAGGATGGAGGAGAGGACAGAGATCATTGTTAGTAGCATATTATTCCAGAAATATTTTTATGTATGCTCTTGTTTACATCATTAAAATTTAATGGTAATGAACTAAGATGAGAACTTGGGTAGTGGTTCTATTGACTGATTTTATTGATACTCTCTTTGCCAAGATTTAGTGTTCTTAATGATGCCCAAAACTAGGTACATGGTTTTTCTTTCTTTCTTAGGACTACCATGTAATTAAACAGAATTATGATTTATGCTTGATGGATTTGAGTTATCCGTGAGAACTGAATATTCTTATTATACAGTTGAGCAAAAATGACCTCATATTTTTACAAAAAAGTACTGATCTTAATAATTTCAGGTAAGGAAAGAGAAATGTCAAGATAGAATTGCATTAAAATAGATTTGAATTTGTATAGTTCGCAGTAGTCATAGATGTATAATCTTTTCATATTACAAAGCTTTAATATTCATCCTATTTCCTTATTACAGTTGTCCTGTGGGGGAAAGTTCATTATGTCATTGATAGATAGATATATATTACTGTAGTTAATCATGAATAGAATATTTCTTTTATGAGCAGAAGGAGAAATTGTACCACACAAATGCCAGGGCCTCTGCTGCTGTTGTTTCATCCAATAGATGTTTGCTCAGATATGTTCTTCATTTGGTTCAGTAGCACTTTTTTCTCAAGGAAGTGCATAGAGATTTGCAAACTCAAGGATGAATCACATCTATACAGTTTTGGAGTAAGATAATTTATTATATATAAATCAAGAATAAATCTGGTCATATAGTAGACCCGTATATTGGGAGGGTTTTAAGTTAGAAAAGTTAATCCCCAAATTGTTGCACACTCCAATGAATCACTTCCTACCACCTCTTTTAAACATTCCATTCACATGTCATTTGTTTGGTAACAATTCTAATATATGTAGAATTTGCACCCACTAATTCATGTCCTACCTAAAGAATCTAAAAAACTTACTCCACTCTGCTGGCCATTGCAAGAAAAAGTTCCTGGGGGGCATATTTGTAAATATAAATCATAAATGAAGTATAGATTGTTGTTTGGAATCAGAGATGTGTTTAGTTGCATAAATCGCCATTTGCTGTGTGAAATATAATCCCAAAAATCTGCTTTATCACATCACAGAATCATATTTGAGTAAATTATATTGACTTCATTAATGCTTTTTGTTCCA